GTCCCCAGTGCTCCGGTCCCCAAACCCCCCCAGGGTCCCCCAGCCTCCCCAGGGTCCCCAGTGCTCCGGTCCCCAAACCCCCCCAGGGTCCCCCAGCCTCCCCAGGGTCCCCAGTGCTCCGGTCCCCAAACCCCCCCAGGGTCCCCCAGCCTCCCCAGGGTCCCCAGTGCTCCGGTCCCCAAACCCCCCCAGGGTCCTCCATCCTCCCCAGTGTCCCCAGTGCTCCGGTCCCCAAACCTCCCCAGCGTCCCCCATCCTCCCCAGGGTCCCCAGTGCTCCAGTCCCCAAACCCTTCCAGGGTCCCCAGTGCTCCGGTCCCCAAACCCTTCCAGGGTCCCCCAGCCTCCCCAGGGTCCCCAGTGCTCCGGTCCCCAAACCTCCCCAGCATCCTCCATCCTCCCCAGGGTCCCCAGTGCTCCGGTCCCCAAACCTCCCCAGCATCCTCCATCCTCCCCAGGGTCACAACTGCACTGGTCCCCAAACCTCCTAAGGGTCCCCCCTACCTCGGTAGTAGACGTCCCTGAAGGGTGAGTTGATGAACTCCCGCATGTTGCCCGTTTTCTCAGCGATGTCAAGGAGCAGGGGGATGGTGTCGTTCCTGCCCCCGCTGAGGTTGAGCAGCGCCTTGGGCAGGCAGGTCTTCCCCGTGGAGGGCTCTGGACGTGGAGGGGGCTGAGGGGGGCTGGAGCGAGCCCCCCGGGGCTATCAGGGAGCCCAGCCCTGTACCCCTGCAGTGGCTGAATCCCCAGCTCCTCCTGGGTGCCACATGCTGCAGACCCCCATGCTGGGGCTGTGCATCACCACCCCTGTGAGGACATGGGGACCACCACTGGCCCAGCACAGCCCCAGTACCACAAGGGGTCCCAGGGCAGGCACCCGGGCTGCTCACCTCGAAACTCCTCATCTGTGAGACGCTTCTTGTGGGCAAGGAGGAAGGAGAGGAGCCCATCCAGGCCAGCTGGAGACCCCCGGGAGACAATGTCGAAGAGGATGGGTCTGTTGAAGACCTTGAGGACGGGGGGTGGGTTGGGAGCAGGTCCCTTCACACCTGGTGTCTGCTTCCTGTGGGAGAGATGCCAGCACTGGGGCCACTGCCTCAGTTTCCCACCTGTGCACTGAGCTGGAGGATGCTCAGCTGCTGGTGAAGGGCACAGACACCTGGGGACACCCCCCAGCTGGGGTCACCCACGGGACTGAGGCAGTCTTGTCCAGTGCTTCCAGTATCCCCCCTCCCAATACGGCCCACAGGTAGCTGGTGGGTGCCCTGCCAGCTCCCAGTGCTGCAGCATTTTGGGATGCCAGCCGTGCCCCCAGTGGCCCAGTCATGCTCCAGCGCCACTGGGGAAGCCAGACCGGTCGGAGCAGTCGCCGAAGCGGGACAGGCTGGGGGCAAACGGCCCGCTCCCGGAGAC